TAGATGAAAAACGGAATCTTAAAACATCTTTTTGGTGTTTTGAGAAAATTGTTTATTTTTTGGATTTTGTAAATGGTCAAGTTAAAAAAACGTCCCGGTTGTCAAACGAGTTTTATTGTTTTTGTTAAAAATAAAAAGAAAAACGGCAAAAACATGACAGTTGCCAAACGCACCCTATTTTCGGGTTTAGGATCTAACGGGTTTCGGGTTTAAGCCGACCCGATCGCAAGCCCTAGACCAAGTTTTACACCGCAGCTCGCCATTGCTCCTTCCCAATTTCGCCCCCTCCCCTCCAAATTTTCAAACTCCCGAACTATGAAATTCGCTAAAAAAATTATCTTTCTCGTCAGAGACAACGATGGATTTGGTCCTGCCATCGCACTTTCATTAATCCCAAACCCTAACTCCGATCTCACGAAATCGTAAGCCCTAAATCTTTCACCTTATTATTTTTTGAATTGATTTATAACAATTAATATCTTCTTTCATTGATTTTTTTTTTTTGTTTTTTGGCAGGGAAAGTAAATTTGAGCTCTCTTTGACGAACTATGGCATCACTGATCAGAAAGCTTCAGGTGATTTGATCAATTTTGTCGACTCGCAAGGCGAGCCTCAGGTATTTCCTCTTGTTTGCAATTTGATTTGCTTGGTCCTGTGATCTTCAGGGGTTCTTTGTTTATGAGATAAACCTTGGAATGTGTATTGGATATAGAGCAGTTTCTATGTAGGCAAAACAACACGTTGTGCGGATTTATGGGTGTTAAAAATGGTCGATGCATATAAGTAGTTGTTGTTGATGCAATTACTTGTATATGTTAGAAATAAAATTATTACCCTCGCCATAACTTCGGAGTTTAGTTTTGGTGTTGTGGCAAGGTCCTCTAAGATGGTATCGGAGCAACATAGGTTCAATTCTTGTCGTCCTCAAATTTAATGTGGATTAAAAAGGAAAAAAATGTTAATGCTATGTGAGTTCAAGTTTCAGCCCATAAAAAGGCGCTCAGCCTACGGGGGCGTGTTAGATATTAAACTGTAACCCTCAACCATCATCACAACTTCAGAGTTTTGGTGTAGTGTGGGTCCTTTAAGAGCATATGAGATCTTCATGTTATTTTGTAAAAACTGAGTATAAGTATTATAGTGTACATCTGCAAGTTAGTTCTTAAGACCTGTGGCAAATTACGGCCTACATATTAAGTTCTTTGTTGGAACATGACTACTTTTTTAATTGTCATCTACCTCCTATTCAATTTAACTATGAACGAAAAAGTGACATGCTTAGGATGTTAAGAGATATCAAGAGAGCTTGACAGAAACTTAACTTTGCAAAACATATTTGTAAGGGAAGGATAGGAAGCTTTAGGCAAAAGTTAATGTTTTTAGGTGACTATGGTTTGAGCAGGTTAGATTCCTGTGTTTTATTAGTCAATTTCCCTTGGAGAGGTTATGGTGAGGTAGTAAAATGGCTAAGCAAGCCTAAACTTCTATGTACGCTTATTCAAAATTATGCCAGAGAAAATTAACCGTTTGTGATACAAGCACCTGTTTGTTAATCCTTTCTGGTAATCATATCCTGGTTAAATTGCTTTATTTCGTTATTTGTACACTATGGGTATTACTTGGAATCAGCCATTAATTATCGTCTTACTGGTGAGATTGTTGAGAATGTTGTTCATAGGATTGAAATAGGGTGGTTAAAATGGAGATGTTAAGCAGGTAACATATGTGTTGCTTGCTAATTTATCTTCATAGGTTTGAATGGGAAAAAAAAGAGTTCACATAGACAACCCGAGAAAATTTGGATAATGCCGTACTTGAGGATGTTTGTTCTTTTTGCTGCTGCACTGCACGTGTTAGCGCCTAGTATTTTGTCATAGTTATCAGTTTCTTTTAATCAGGATAAACAACATGTGGCTTACAGTAGATATTCTTGCTTTAATAGTAGTAAAAATTGTGGAAGTAATTATAATTCTAATTTTGCAAAAAATGATAAAAAAAGATCTTTGACTTTGATTTCCTGTAGCTCCAACTTTTGGTTGGCTTCATGAATGTTACTTATCATGACACTTGATCTGCTACGGTAGAATTCATTCTTGTGACTTCAAATTCCCAATAGTGGAAGGGTTGGAGATCATTAGCCAGAATTATGGAAGGGTGTTGATTGGCGGGAATACCCAGCAGTAGTTGTTACTAGCATATGAAAACCTTCTTAGAACTGCTGAATACCTGTATAAATTATCATCCATTTGTTCTCTTTAAACATGTGCCTATTTAAGTAGTCATTTCTAGCATACTACCCAGGAACTCTTTCTTCCTCTTTTCTTTTCCTGCAAAAAGCTGGTTTAGTTACTGAGATGCTTAATCTTTTCAGGTGTCCATCTTACTTCTACCGAATTATGAACCTCCTATTGCTGCATGTGCTGTCAGAGAAGTTCTATCATCCATTCTTTCAGACAACCTTTCTGGTCAACCTACAATAGTACTTCCATTCGTGATGAAAAGTCTCAAGTTTAATCAAGACATAGAAATAGAGGCCAGAACTGACTTTGCTCAAGCTATGCTTTCTGAAGTTACTAAAACTTCTTCACCAGTGCAGTTGAACTGTGAGCCTTCAGCCTGCTTGCTGCATATGGTTCGTGTGTTGCGTTTACCTACTGTGCTTCTTATTGCTTCTGATGGTCAGAGTCAGAACAAAAGAGCTATAGAGTATGAACTTGAGGTATTTTCTAGTCATTTTCTCTTAAAACTTATAAATGCTTATGGTTTTTTGAAATTAGTTGAATTGTGAGGTGTCTAGTTGCTGGTACATTCAAACGTTTTTGCCTTTTCTTTAAAAAATCACTAAAGAGCCAAGGGTTAATTGTGGATAGAATCCCTGTACTATCGCTCAGTTGCAGATAGCTTCGCTGTAGTTCTATTGTTGCGGGTAGATCCTGTACTACCACACAATTGCAGGTAGAATCCCCAGGTGAATTTATTGGCTTTTCTACTATTAAGAAGTATATTTGCCGAAAAATATTTCCCTCCTTCTCTGAGGGTGAAAGAGTCAAAAAGGTTCACTTAGAGGATCCAATAGAACTACAGGGGTCTACCCACAATTGGGTTATAGGACAGGGGGTCTATCCACAGTTAACCCAAAAATAAATAAATGATTATTCACTATTTGCTAGTATTAGTCTAAATGACGTCTTTAGCATTTGGGTTAAACATGTTTTACTAGTCCTAGGTCTGGAATGGGGAGTTGGCTTCACCAACTAAATGTAGCCACCTATGTCATGCCTGTTAAAGTAAAAACCCATCCATGGGCACCAAAAGTATTGCAGAGCCATTATATATGGCAAAAGAAATGATTTGATGACTCAGACTCATCATAGAACTGCCAGTATTGCTTTTCAAAATATCTCGTCAATTGACAGTGTCTTTCAAGTGAATTGAATTTTGTTCTTCATGTGGACTAACTTCGAGCTGAATCCCTTCATTGTTTTTATTTTTAGGCACTTTGCAAGATCGGTCAGTTCCTGGCTGGTCATCTGTGTCTTAGTTTCAGCAAAGAAGGACTCCAGCACAAAGAGGCTGAGAAATCAACACGTGCTCAAGAACCGTGGCGTGCATTGTATTTATAAGATCTCAGGTAGCCTCAACTCAAGAGCATAGTTTCGTACGGTCTTATTCTGTTGAGCACGCAAGGTAGCAGAAAACCAGATGAAATCTGAACTCCTGTATGGATTAATGCGGAAATGCCAAAAATTTTATGGCTATGATGATCTTTGTGTCGAAACAGTGATATGCTTTGTGAAGATGACAATTTTTTTTTGTTGAAGTTATTCCTTATCTTCATCATAACAGAAAAAATTCAAGAGCTCACAGTGAGGGATTAAATTGCGATGGATACAGTTTCAACATCTAGAATCCTTTCTCTTGAACAAATTATCTGTATTTACAATTCATGGGTTGTGATGGAGTAATTTAATTGCACCTAGGTTGGCTAGCGTTTGAATTATTTTTGAATTTCCATACATATTTCTCACTGAAGGTGTGCCACAAATGTAATGATTCAGGTGATATTACGGGATAGGTTCTCACCAGACTCAGTTCTTTTTAGTTTTTGCTCTCAATTACTTGGTTATACATCAATCCTCAATGAGTATTTGTTTGAGAAACTGTAATGAAGTCTGGAAGCATTACCCAACCAATTAGCAGTGTATCGAGCTCAGTTCATACTCACCCTCTTCATCCTGTCTCATGTTGGCAATGGCATCTGTTTTTTTAGCATGTATTTTAAACTGATCCCTATGCTATCTGTTGCGAGGTTGTTTTTATTCTTTTTTCCCAATTTTATACACGCTAGATTTCATTGTAACTTTTATTCCTATAGGTCAGGGCTCTCTCATATTATGCCATGTTTCTACTTCCCTGAAGGATCTTCGAGAATGAAGTTTATGTCATCAACACTTACATCTTCAGTATCGAAATGCTTTGGGAGGTGAAGTTAGTCTACAATTTTCTTCCCTTCTGGATGCAGTTAAATTTTAGTTTAAGGTTGTTAAAACATTAGTAACAGAATGCCAAGTGACATCTTAATATCTTTCTGTTTCAGCCCGTATTTGCCAATCCCTGGTATTTGCCTAACATTTGTAAAAAGGGTTTTAAGAGAGAACAGGTGACATGATACTTTTTTTGTAAGAGTAGAGCATTGTTTGACAGTGATTTCGGCGTGGTATTGCTGGAAGAGAGCAGTTCGGTTGAGACTGAGGGTCCTATGTTTCAAGATTGCTAAACCTACTGCAGATGTTAGAAGATTATATCAAGCATGGCGTATTAATAGATGATGTTTTTCTTGGTCTTGTAGTACTGGATTCTCACGCTATCTGAAATATTTTACTTCATGCTTTGGTCAGTACATATTTGGTTGTTGGATGTCGGTGGGTAGGATCAGATAAATTTTACATAATAAATATTTAATTACATTGTAATACTATGAATTTTGAGGACATTATATTTGGGGTGATGCAGAAAGAATTTTTACACAAGGAACATGTCTGTGTATTGTAGTAGTAGCAGTTGTTGTTGTGTCCAATTTGTTCATTGGAGAAATGCACTTGATACATGTTCGGTTGAATAGGACTTTTGGGCTGAGCAAATACAGAAAACGTAATTATGCATGGAAAATCAAGAAATTGAGAGAAATTGTTGTGCAGTGTAGATTTCCTGTGGTTTTTCAACACTGAGAAATATGTGAAGAGTTTTCTGCAGTGTCTCGTTTGGTTGTAGCTTAAGCTAATTGAGAATATATATAATTTTGGTGTTGATATTTATTGCGTATTGGGATAACATGAGCTGCTTTGCACGTCTCAACTTGTTATATTAGTCGTTATGCCTTAGCTTAACAACAGGGGAAAAGAGGGTAATCTACGGTAGAGAGTTGTTTTGTTCCTTCTTTTATGTACAATTCTTTGTTCAGGTCTGAAGATTTTCAGTGCTTTTGTCTTAGGGACGAGTGAAGAAATGTATAGGTTTTTGCAAACGATTTCGGATTTTTACATAGATGGCGGAGGAAAAAGGGGATTCGGGTGAATTCTTTCTAATCATGTGATAATCACGTGATACCCTATAGATAGAATCTTCAATGATCGCTTCATGGAAGATGCTAAAATTTAAATTTGGTGAAATTTTAATATATCATCTGGAAAAAAAAATCTAAACTTCAGGATATCAAAGTTAAAATTGGTTGAATTTTAGGGCATTAAAGAACAATTAATTCTTTAAAATTTGTAGTAAGATATTAGATGTGTAAGAGTGACAGCATCATTAGACTATGAAGGATGAACCATTATGACCTTCTGGAGTCCTTATATTTACCTGAAATATAGGGTAATCAGCAATATCTTTGCAGAAGGAAGATGAGTAACCAAACCTTTTGTTTCCAAGTTCGTTCTTAGTGTTGACCTCTCACCCAAATCATTATGCATGCTTTAGATAAAGACTGCCATGACCACTTCAAGAGTAAAACACATACAAGCAAATGATACTGTCAAGCAATGTGAATATTAACATGATCGATAATGTTAGTAGGCGATACATCATCACAAATAGAATATTACTTCTCCAATTGAATCTCCGATATCGTCAAAAAAACAGGTAAGTTAGTGATGTTTGTGTTAAGAGAACATAATCCTGAATTTATGGACAAATAAAGATTACAATCTCAATTGGTATGGCTCCAAGGAAACAGAGAATTGATATTGTTGGTGTTTAGCCATGCAGTCTACTACTAATTTAATTCCACAACATCACAACGAAGTTGGATGAGCAAATTTTATAACATAAGTGAATAAACAAAAGGAAATATGATTAAGACAGGGATTTTATCTGGGTCCCCTCTGGATACTGTGATTGCAACATTTTGGTCCTACTATAGTTCATGAGAAGAAACAGGGGGTAGTGGTAAGAGAAAAGCCAAAATGTTTCACTCTTAACCTTTTGAAATGATGATCCTTAGTGGTACATCCATTTGTACACAACCAGATTAAAAGTTTTATATCTTCTAAATTAAAATGCAGAATCTAATAATATCCTTTATGTTATAATGTGCCGAAAGAGAGGCTTCTCAGTGCTCCTAAGTGCATGTAGACATGCCAAGGCTATCATTTTCTCATAGTGTAAATTAATGGTTCAATAATCTTTTAACTGACTCCCTTATTTCTCATACATGCTTTCTTTTCTTTTTTTTTTTATCTTGAGTTTTTGAAAGTGGAGATTGCACGCGAACAACCTCCTTTTGCTTCTTTCTTCCTTCATGTGGTTTCACTATTGTTCTCCATGAGAATTCATGCCCTTGAATGTTATTTTAGGAAATTAACTTTGGTATAAAGAGTTATTGGTTCTCTTTATGCCTCTTTAACCTTTACCCAAATTCCAAATTATTCTTTTTGCACTTTCAGTTTCTTATGCATAGATGGCACTAGTATCCTAAAAAGTTTTCCTCTGTCCAACAAAGAGACTGAAACTTAATATAGATTTCGGAAAACATGAATTAGATAAGAATTTTTTCAAAGATTTAGCATTTTTCTTTATCTAATTGTCTATCATGGCACCATACCACTTCCCATTTCAGAGAGAATTTTAAGCTAACCATGTATAACATGAATTTTTTTGATGAAGTTTTCTTTAAATAGCTTAGTATCAGTATTTTAACAAACCCATCAGTAACTGTCACAACTGCCAGTGTAAAAAAAATCTCCACATCATTGATTGATGAATTGATTTCCAGAAGGAAGAAAAAAAATAAAATATTAAGTCCAGTTTGTCAGAGAATTAATAAAACTATTGAAGAATAAGATGAAGGAACATGCATTACACCTTGGCTAAGGTACAATCTAAGCATTTAAATACAAAACAGCCCACCATTAACTTGACCACTACTATGTTTTTACTCCCCTTTTTCATGTATTTTAATTGTTTTCACTTTTAAAACCTCTTTTTATTCCCATGATGCTCCCATTACTAATACAGAAACAAGTTCATCTCCATATGATCTGAGCACCTAATATGTCTCCTCCCCATCTCTCAGTCATTATCATGTGATATATGATCCTATCATGCACTGCTGATTTAGCTTGATTTTTGTTAATTAATATAATAATATATGTTAACATGAACTTGTCTCTTAACTTTTGATGGGTCATCATAATTAGATCTGATCTATTTGATTCGAATCTAGATCTGCTTGATTTTTAGATGAGGGATTTAATTAGTAGATCCATTTATATTCAGTTTGGTCATGGATCCATTTAACATTTAGACCAAACAATATTTCAATACTAGCTTGGATTCATTTTTATGTATATGCATGTTTTTTACCTTCTTGTTTGGCAAGATTCGCTGATATATGGTTAATGATAGGGATTATACTCCTGGGGATATATTTTTAGGTGAAACATAAGAAATTGGTGTCACATATATAGAGCTAAGAGCACTGATGGTGAAATTTATGTGTACATATGTGTTTATTTGCATGGGGTTACATCTCAACAGAAAAAATATGCACATACAATTATACATGGAAAAAATTATTTGACTTTTATAACTGAACGAGCTCTAACCATGTGACAAACCCCTTTGCTAGTTATAATAACGACCAAAGTTTGACATCCTCTGAACATTACCTCCTCCTTTATTTGCAAGTGAAGTCATGAATGTTGGTGGCCTTTTTTTCACTTCTTTTCATGCAAATTTTATTCATTTTTTTTCCGTATAATTTTATGGGTAAAAGGAGGTGAAACCCACAAGGGTCTAGCTGTCTTCTTATGCAGCTAATATTACAATTAACAAAGAAGTGCACATGATTTTGATGAAGGCAAGAGACTGAACTAATTAAACTAAGGGGTTAGTTATCCTAGTTGTCCCTTCCACCCAAAGCCACGTCCTTTGTTTTCAGTAATTGCCTTTTGCTACTAGACCGAATGCTCAGATATCCTATTATTTTTAGGATTAACACTCTCCTACTTAAGGTCTCCTCTGATTTAAACCAAACCCGCATTCAGGTTAACAATAAAATCTTGTCTGATTTGTATATATCTAGGAATGGAGATTGGAGAAGCTTTGTTCAATCAATATATCTTTAGGGTTTTATGTCGAAAGATATGTATCTTTAGATTTTCTTTTTGGAGGCAAATAACCATCTTTACAATGTAGCGAAATTGATTCTGATAATAGAGGGATTATCAGAATATTGAAAACTTCAAATTTTCAGTTATAACTTTGCACCATGACTTTATGTAAGAAATTCTTAGCAACTTATTTAATTTTTTAATAGTTTGAAACAGATTATCATTCAACAAGCAAGTTTAAGTGATCTTATCAACTCCCTAAATAAAAGAGAAAATGCTTCCTTCTCATTTATGTTGGCTGTATGTGTTTGATATTTGTGAGTTGTGGCCACCTTGATCACAAGCAAAATGTCTGTAATATTCCCTCTCATTTCTTTATTTGCTTATAAATATACAGTGAAGAACTGTTTTGGGCAACATATGTGGCTAAATAACAAGTATAATAGGAAGCATTACAATTCAGATGAAGTTGTGGCTAAGTTCGGATGCTAGTCAAGTCACATCAAAGGTTAGCTATCATTATAAAGAAGAAATATGTGAGCCAAAAAAATCAGGGATGAGTGCAATTTGAATCCGTATTCAGAAAACAAAGGAATATACATCAATTTACCAAATAAATAGCTTATCTTTCTCAAATGCCACCAGGTTGCAGAGCAGCTTTGTACTCAACAATCTGTTGTCATTTCTTTATATTTTCATTAGTATTAGAAACAACTGAAAAAGGAAAAGATCTATTGACATCCATTCAACTATTCATATACATGTAATGATACACTATAAAACTAGAGAAAATAATAATACTATCAATCTAAGTTTCTCTTGATAATTAATATTAATCAAACTCTACATCTTGTCCCTCAGTATGCCTCCCAAAATCCAATTCCATTAACAATTAAAATCAATAAATAATTAAAAAAAAATACAACCCCTTCTTTAGATCCAGATCTCCATTATTTTTCTCCTATAAAAAAAAGTCATGGGTACCCCTCCTCCATAATCCCTATACAAATTCTCTCATGCTACTCCTCTCCCTCCAAACTCCCCTCTCACAACCTCCAATGCCTCCATTCATTCTCCTCCTCACAATAACGTCTGTTTTCTTTCCTTTCTCATTCTCCATTGATGACCAAGGCCTAGCTCTTCTCTCATGGAAAAAGACACTCAACACCTCCTCAAACCTTCTCAACTCATGGAACCCCTTAGACAAAAATCCATGCAACTGGTTTGGAGTCTCATGCAACAAGAACTCAGAGGTTGCCAGCCTCACATTCAAATCAATAGACCTCCAAGGCCCATTGCCTTCAAACTTGCAACCTCTCACTTCACTGAACTCATTAGTCCTCTCTGAAGCCAATATCACTGGCTCGATACCGAAGGCATTTGGTGATTACCGACAACTTACTTCTATTGATCTTAGCAAGAACCAAATCTCCGGAGAGATTCCAACAGAATTATGCAAGCTTACCAAGCTTGAATCATTGTCTCTCAACTCAAATTTTATCCAAGGAACCATTCCTTTTGATATCGGAAATTTGTCAAGCCTGACTTATCTAACTCTATATGATAACTATATCAGTGGAGAAATCCCGTCGAGCATTGGAAAGTTGACGAAGCTTGAAGTGTTCAGAGCTGGTGGCAATCAAAATTTGAAAGGATCATTGCCTTCAGAGGTTGGTAACTGCACCAACCTGCTAATGTTGGGCCTTGCAGAAACTAGTATCTCTGGTTATCTCCCTTCTACGATTGGGAAGCTGAAGAAGATTCAGACTATTGCTATATACACTGCTCTTCTCTCTGGTTCAATCCCAAAAGAGATTGGCAACTGCACTGAGCTTTCAAATTTGTATCTGTATCAGAATTCGTTATCAGGATCGATTCCACCTGAGCTCGGAGGTCTTGTGAATCTTCAGACTCTGCTACTATGGCAGAATAGCTTGGTGGGTTCTATTCCAGCTGAAATCGGAAATCTCAAGGAGGTAAATCTCATTGATTTGTCTCTCAATCTTCTTTCGGGGTCTATACCGAAAACTATTGGCAATCTCCCAAAGCTTCAGCAACTTCAGCTGAGTACTAATCAGCTCTCTGGTCATATTCCTCCCGAGATTGCCAACTGCTCAACACTAACCGATATTGAAGTCGATAACAACAACCTCTCCGGTGAGATTGATATCGATTTCAAGAAGCTGCCAGGTCTCACGTTGTTCTATGCTTGGAAGAACAGATTGACTGGAAATATTCCAGTTAATCTCTCAGAATGTCAGAATCTCCAATCTCTTGATCTCTCTTACAACAACATGACAGGTCCAATACCAAAACAGCTACTTGGGCTACAAAATCTCACCAAGTTATTGGTTCTGTCTAATGAGCTCTCTGGATTCATACCACCAGAGATTGGCAACTGTACAAATCTTTTCAGGCTAAGGCTGAACCAGAACCGTCTATCTGGATCGATACCTGCAGAGATTGGAATGTTAAAGAATCTGAATTTTCTTGATTTTAGCAGCAATCGACTCGTCGGTCAGATCCCTCCATCGTTGTCAGGCTGTGAAAATCTCGAATTCCTTGATCTTCATTCAAATGCCCTTGGTGGAGCTTTGCCAAGTTCACTTCCGAAATATCTACAAGTCATCGACATCTCAGATAACATGCTCAGTGGCCCATTAGGGCCCGCCATCGGGTCACTGGCAGGGCTGACAAAGTTTGCTGCAGGGAAAAATCGGTTCTCTGGCAGAATTCCCTCAGAGTTCAAGTTCTGTACTAAACTCCAACTGTTAGATCTTGGCGCCAATACATTATCCGGTGAGTTACCAGCAGAGCTCGGCCAATTGCCAGAGCTCGAAATCTCTCTCAACCTCAGCTGCAACAGTCTCTCTGGCGCAATTCCATCACAATTCTCAGGTCTTAGCAAGCTCGCAATCCTCGACATTTCCCGCAACAATCTCAGAGGCAATCTCTCTCCTCTCGCTAATCTCGAGAATCTCGTCACCCTGAACATTTCCTTCAACAGCTTCTCAGGCGAACTGCCAGATTCGCAATTCTTCAGGAAGCTTCCCATTTCTGCCCTCACCGGAAACCATGGGCTGTTCATCTCTTCTGGGCCCGCATCAGACACGGGTACGAAAGCAGCTCCAATGTCAGCTCTAAAACTAGCCATATCAATCTTAGCGAGTGTCGGTGCAATATTGGCGTTGATGGCTGCGTACGTGTCTATTCATGATCGAATAACTCCCAAGAGAGACGAAAATGGTACATGGGAAGTGACATTGTACCAAAAGCTAGATTTCTCGGTTGATGATCTCGTTCGAAGGTTGACATCAGCCAGTGTCATTGGGACGGGGAGCTCTGGTGTAGTTTACAGGGTCGACTTACCAACAGGCGTCACCTTGGCGGTGAAGAAAATGTGGTCAGTAGAGTCATCACAAGGGACAAGTGCATTTCATAATGAAATTTCAACGCTAGGCACAATTCGACATCGAAATATCGTGAGATTATTAGGTTGGGCAGAAAATGGGAGTACAAAACTTTTGTTCTACAATTACTTGGTGAATGGTAGTTTGAGCGGATTCCTACACCGGGGTACGAAGGGATCTGGGGATTGGGATGTCAGATATGATATTGTAGTAGGACTAGCAAACGCTATCGCATATTTGCATCATGATTGTGTGCCTGCAATCTTGCACGGAGATGTTAAAAGTATGAATGTGCTGTTGGGGTCGAGACTTGAAGCGTATCTGGCAGATTTCGGGTTGGCCGAGGTTTTGAATGGTGGTTATAGCAGTGATATGAAAGTGAAGATTAAGGGCTCGCCGAAGATTGCAGGATCTTATGGCTACATCGCTCCAGGTATTGATGAGTTTTGATTTTTTTCCCCTTATGTGAAGGGCATTGATTTTGATTGTCTGATTGGCTTGCTTCTTATTGACTTCTTTCCTGATGCGATGAATAAAGCTTTTATGTCCATGTCTAGATTTAGAAAAAACCTAGAGAACTTGACATGCCTCTTTATGAGGTGATCTTATAGGTTTAATGTCAAACTTCTCCACTTATGGCTCTGTTAGACCTGACATTGACATGAGAAGAATGAGCTAGGTAGAAATCTGGATTCGAGTATCTCAACTTAGAATTTAACTTGTTTTGATCAGACCTAAATAGCACAAGAGTTTCTCACAGGCTTTACGAGATGTGGACCCAAAAGAATGAGCAGGGTCAGAATCAGAACCCAAATCCAATGCAAAAAATGAAGATTCAAATCCTCTTATTTTCTGGACAAGTTGGATTAGTCCATCTAAAGATGAACAATAAGCTTAGAACTTGTACTTAGGATATTTTTTATTTCAGTAACAAGTAACATTAGGTGAATTATTATGTTTTATTGGCACAAACTAATAATATTGGTTTTCATTAGAACACGCTTCAATGCAAAGGATCACAGAAAAGAGCGATGTCTACAGCTACGGTGTAGTCCTGCTCGAGGTTCTAACAGGTAGACATCCATTAGACCCATCACTGCCAGGAGGAACACATCTAGTTCAATGGGTTCGCGATCACTTAGCAAACGAATGTGATCCGACGGATCTCCTTGACTCAAGACTACAAGGTCGACCAGAGTTTCACATACAAGAGATGATTCAAGCATTGGCCATCTCGGTATTGTGCGTGAGTGCTAGGCCTAATGAGAGGCCTACGATGAAGGATGTCGTTGCATTGCTTAAAGAGATCAGACGATCGGTTGTTGATGAGGAGAAGGCACCATCAGCTAGTTTTACTGCTAAATCTCCTGCTCGGGATGTGGATTTGGAGGGTTCTTCGACTTGTTCATTTGCTACGTCAGATTGTTCTAGCCGAAATTAGCAAGGAAATTGGAGCTTTTGCTTGCCCTTGTAAATCTCAAGTTAATAGAAATATAGCAATGTATCTCTTGAAAGAGATTTTGGATGTATAGATTTTTAACTCTCTTTTAGTAAATATTTCCCTGTTTAAGCTTCGCTTGAAGTTTCCAACTTATTAGTCCTAAAGCAAATAACCAGTGGAAATAAAAAAAAGTTCCTTATTTATTAAATTTGCTACAAAGTTAAACTATATGAAATGAGCAGTAGTAGAGGAATTTTCCAATTTTCTACTTCAACTTGAATGGAATATAACATTTTTCATCCTACACATAAAGGAATTTTTCATCTTCTTATAGTTTCATATAAACCAAAGAAAAAGCAATGCAGATTTTGGAAAGTCAAATAGTTTTTGTAATAAACAAACAGATAATATCTGACAAACCTTCTATTAAGGGGAAAAAACAGGGAAGTTTGCTGGAAATTTCTTGTTATCCAAGCGTATATTATGTGGGGTAAAAGAATTTGGCTAATTTTTAACTCTGCCTCTTTCTACTCTCTAATAAAATTATTTATCCTGACACTTTGAGGATGAGAAAAACATTCCTTCAGTATTTGGTTTCTTCCAAAATAACCTTTTTCTCTTACAGTTTTCCTTTTGATGTATAACAAGGGCAGCTTGTATTGGGGAACTAGATGAGTGTAAATGTGTGCTTTTGGGGGTTAGTGCAATGATTGAGGTGGCATTAATTAATTCTAAACAGTTAAATTAAGTTAATTAACTAAGAAATTATAATAAAAAAAATTGCTGCCTAGCCAGCAAGACTCTCACATGGCCTCATGCAGCCACTCCCATTTTCACATCACACTGAGAAAGGACTATGTAGCCTAACTCAAATGACAAAGTCTCCTTTTGTATGCCTTTTACTATGAGCACTTTATTAATGGATGCCAATTTCCTCAATCACATGGAAAAGGATCTCAAGTTCTAAGCCATGTAATGCACCATCCAGTTCCTATCATTAACAAGATGGAGCAAATTAACAGTAATAAACATTTTTACTTCTATCGCTTGTCTAAACCTTTAACAAGATGGAGCAAATTAAAGTATTTGGGTTCAAACTTCACGAATCCTTCTCACCCCAATCCTTGCTAATTACAGTGAAGAAGTTGGAAGGTCTGCACATGAAATCAATCTGACCAAAAGTCCTCCATGGAATGCAAGTTTTATGATCCTTAGAAAATGGCATTGGAAATGTGTAGTAAAAGATTGTAGCATGGAAAATTGGAAGAAGAAAAAATTCGTTCGAAGTTAGTACTAATCAAAACCTGGTTAGGTGATATCGCTGATATGTTTTCCTTTTCTTACTCTCTTTTAGTAAAGAACTACTTCAAATATAAACATTAGGTTCCTTAGCTCCCAAAATGATTAAGGAGATTTTGTCTGAACAAAAACAATTAAAGGTAAGCTAGGAAATATAGAACAGGGATGAAGAAAGAGGAAGATGGTGAGGAGGAGAAAAGACGTACGTAGTCTTTCAAGAAGTCATTTTTCACATCAATTCTTTGATTGCCAGTGCACCATTATGGTTATCTCTCTTTGGATGATGCCGGGTAGTACATTAATCTAGCAATTAAACCTCAATTATTAATGAGAAAAAAAAAAGGAATCTACAAGAAGATAGCTTCATGGTGAACGAAAGAGCTTCACTACAGATTAAGACCTCCACTCCTTTTATCTGATGAACGTTGAAGCTTCCCGTAGAAACAAAGAAGAAGGATATTTCAGGTATTTCTCTAAATTAATTTGAACATGTAACGCATTTGTCCTTTTTTCTACATAGAATTATTTTTACGTTCCAAGCTGGTTGTCATGCGAAAACTATAACGCTGAAAAAGACGGAGAGACAAGATTTCTTGTTTCTAACGAGCCGAGCAAAAATTAGGACAATTGTTTAAGCTATCAACAATGGATTGTGATGAGTATTCGCAGCTGAAGGTGTAGCTATAGGCTTGCATCCATCCAGCCATATTGATGTGGTTTAACAAGTCCCGAATTAATGTTACCTCCCTTAAGATAAGGTAAGATAAGATTAATAGACCACCTCCCAAGCGCACCACATAAATTCCGAGGGGAAAAAAATGATAAATGACCCAACTCCTTAAGTGAAAAGCTGCATCCAATTAAAATTGAAACAAACTGTTATAAAAATTAATTTTTGTGTTATATTATCAACAAAAAGATCAAGATGTATGTAACTGATGAGTGAAGACGACGCATAAATGATTATGAATCTGAATGGCGCGCCTTAAGTTCATGCTGTGATCATAAGGAACCTCAGAGTTTATAAAACCATGCATGCATGTGGAGCTTGTTTGAGGCCACAGAAAGCCTGGCGCTAAGACGTGATGATCAGAATGGGCCGAATCCCAAAATCCAGGTAGCTGCGCCATATAGACTTTTGCTCATTTAGGTCCCCGTTTAAAACTTTTTTGTTAGAAAAAGAAGCAGATGTTTTCTAGTTTTCTCTATTTTGAACGTGTACTGCATTTGTCCTTTTTCTAGATAGATTTATTTGCACTTTTCACGCAGTTGTCATGTGAAAACTGTAACGCTGAAGAAAATGAAGAGATAAGATTTGTTGTTCCTACTGAGTTGAGCATAATGAGAACAATTTGTGCAAGCAAGTGCATTGTTTAAGCAATCAAATTATACTTAGAAGGTATTGAAGAAGATGACATGCAAATTGATAGCATGCATGTGGCTACTTAAATTTTATTATATGTAATTTTATTATGGAAGGCATCATCGATTCCAGTAGCCACATTCATGCTATCAATTTGCACGCCATCTTCTTTAATATTTCCTGAGTATCATTTGCTTCTTCTTCTACAATTGATCCGGCCGGTAAGTCACCCGTAACGTGGCCCGAAGCGTTGTTAAATATAGTACTTGGCGTCCCACCAAGAGAATGCCGGCTTAAATGTTGCAGTAGAGACCATATTAGAATTCCTCACCAACTTAGATTATTCTAGAACAACTTAATTTCTCGAACTTCTTTCTAGTAACATCCTACAAAATATCTATCAAGAAGTTTCTAGGAAGATACAAGTATATGGCTAGTATTTATTCTTCTAGAAGCTTCTTAGTAATGTATAGCTAGGATTAACTCTTCTACACACTTCCTAGCCCTCTTAAATAACTATAAATAGGGGTCTTGGGCACACATTTTGGTAGGCAAACAAGAAGTAAGCTTGAAAGCTTGAGTGTGTAGTGTAGGCTTGTGTGAGTGTTCACCAAAATAAAAGAGTTGTGTGAAAGTGAGGTGCTCTTGTAAGAGCAAGTATTGTATTATCTAGTGTCTATCAATAAAAGTTTCCTTTGTGTAGAGGGTTGTATTATTCAAATTCCATCAAAGTGGTATCAGAGCAAGGTTCGATCTAGACGGGCCAATCGAAGGTGCTCGTGTACGAGATGGCGAACATGATCCAGCCATAGATTCTGAAGCTGATGAAGACCAATTACGACAACTGGAGTATCCAGATGAAAGTCTTGCTCGGCTCGCAAGACTTGTGGGAGCTCGTGGAGAATGGCTACACTGAACCAGAGTCACCTGCAACAGAAGCAACTCTCATCGCCACACAGATGAGTGAACTAAAGGATGTCAGAAAAAGAGACAAAAATGCTTTGTTCCTAATATTCCAAGGTGTAGATGAATCAGCGTTTGAGAAGATTTCCAATGCACTGTCCTCCAAAGAAGCATGAGAGATTTTATAAAAATCCTATCATGGTGCGGAAAGAGTCAAAAAGGTACGCCTCCAAGTATTAAGAGTTGAATTTGAAAATTTGAAGATGAAAGCTACAGAATCAATATCAGGCTATTTTAGTAGAGTTCAGACAATAACTAATCAAATGAAGAGAAATGGAGAAGCAATTAATGATGTAAGAATTATGGAGAAGATACTTAGAACTTTAGACTCTAAATTCAAATATATTATTCCGACAATTCAAGAGTCTAAAGATCTTTCCGAAGTTTCTATTGATGAGCTACAAGGTTCTCTGCAAGCTTATGAACAAGATATAAACATCAGTTCAAAACAAGCAGAGAATCTAGAGCAAGCCTTGCAGAGTAAGATAACTATCAAAGAAGATAGTCGAAGATGGCGTGGAGGCTACAGAGGCAGAGGCTCTTTTCGAGGTGGCTCAAACTTCCAGCAAGGTTGTAGGAGACAGTACCAAGGAGGCCATGAAAATTAAGATCGAAATGGAGATCGTGAATGATCGTTCGATCAAGGACGAGGTCGTGGCGCACGAGGACGAGGACGAGGACAAGGAAGAAGTTACCAGGAGGACAAATCTCAGCCACAATGTTACAAATGCAAGAGATACGGCCATCTCAGTTATGAATGCTGGGAGAAACCAAATCAAGTGGTAGAAAAAAGTAACTTTGTAGAAAGGGAGCAGCCAGACACTTCAACAGTCCTGCTGACACACCAGGAGAATGAAAGCAAGAATCAAGATATCTGGTATCTGGATTCAAGTGCCAGTAACCACATGTGTGGCATCAAGGAGTTCTTTACCGAGCTAAATGAGACGGTGCAAGGAGATGTCACTTTTGGAGACCAGTCAAAGATTCCAGTAAATGGTAAGAGCAAGATAATGATCCAGACAAAGACGGGCGAGAATAGCTATATCTCTGATGTCTATTATGTTCCAACACTACGAAATAATATTTTGAGTCTAGGCCAGCTCCTAGAAAGAGGCTATGATATACATCTAAAAGACCTTGCCCTCACTATCAAGAAATAAAAATAAAGTAATTGCAAAGGTGAATATGTCTCGAAATAGACTATTTACCTTAAATATTCATACTGACCCTGTCAAGTGCTTAAAGATGATTATGAAGGATGAGTCTTGGCTCTAGCATTTGAGATTTGGGCATCTTGCATTCAGTGACCTGAACCTTCTGTGGAAGGAGAAAATGGTGAAAGGATTGTCGCCAATCAACCATCCGAACCAGCTATGTGAAGTTTGTATGAAGGGTAAGCAACATAGAAGAAGTTTCGAAGTTGGAAAGTTAAGAAGAGCAACAGAGCTGCTACAATTGGTCCACACAGATATTGCATGACAATTTGATGTCGTCTCTCTTGGAGGAAACATGTATTTTCTCATATTTATTGATGATTATAGCAGAAAAACTTAGGTTTATTTCTTGAAGGAGAAATCCGGAGCTCTAGAGAAATTCAAAGAATTTAAGGAGATGATAGAAAAGCAAAGTGGGTACCACATCAAGGTGCTCCGATCAAATCGAGGTGGAGAATACACTTCGAATGTATTCAACAATTTCAACAAGCAGTACGGGATAATTCATCAACTCACTGTCGCCTACATACCATAACAGAATGGCATAACAAAGCGGAAGAATCGTACTATTCTTGATATGGTCAGAAGCATGTTAAAGAGTAAGTACCTGCCGAAGACTTACTAGGTTGAACCTGCGGACTGTGCAGTTTACTTCCTCAATTGAGAAATACAATGTCAGGCTTGTTGCAAAGGGCTATAGTCAGCGAGAAGGAGCTGACTATGAAGAAGTGTTCGCACCAGTCACGAGGATCGACACCATCCGACTTATTATTGCATTGGCAGCACAAAACCGATGGAAGATCTGCCAGATGGACGTGAAGTCTGCATTCTTAAATGGCTACCTAGAAGAAGAAGTCTACATCAGGAAGCCACCGGGGTACGAGGTGAAGAACCAAGAAGATAAAGTCTACAAGCTGAAGAAGGCATTGTATGGACTGAAGCAAGCACCCAAAGCGTGGAATGCTAGAATCGATGCATACTTCCAGAAGAACGGATTCCAGCAGAGTCCATATAAGCACTCTCTCTATACCAAGAAGAAGGATGGAGACATTATGATCGTATGTCTCCACGTGGACGACATGATCTTCACCGACAACAATCCGAAAATGTTCGAGGAGTTCAAGAAGAACATGATCAGGGAGTTCAAGATGACTGGCATTGGAAAAATGCTATACGTTCTTGGAGTAGAAGTATCGCAATCTGAGAGAGGAATCTTCATCTCTCATAAAAAGTACGCAAAGGAGATCCTTTGGAAGTTCAACATGAATAACTACAAACCAGTTGTAACTTCTATCGAAGTCGGAGTGAAGCTGAGGAGAGACTCACCAGGAATCTCTATTGATCCAACTTTGTATAAGAGATTAGTCGGAAGCCTAAGGTACCTGACTATCACAAGACCCGACATAATGTTTACGGTTGGATTGGTGAGCAGATTCATGGAGGAGCCAAGACAAGAACACTTCAAGGTGGCCAAGAGGATTCTCAAGTATGTTCAAGGAAGCATTAATGAAGGATTATTTTACTCACAAAGTGTAGTTCCAAGACTAGTCGGTTACCCGACATAATGTAACCAACAGTGATGATGGGGGAGACTTGGATGAAATAAAAAGTACATCCGACTACATGTTCAGCATTGGATCAACAGCTTTTTCTTGGTCATCAAAGAAGCAGTCCGTTGTTGCTCTATCAAGTTGCGAAGCAGAATACATTGATGCATCTACAGGTGCATGTCAAGAGATATGGCTTAGAAATCTAATGAAGGAGCTGCAACATGAACATGAAGCACTGACAGAGATTCTCATCGACAGCAAGTCAGCTATTGCACTTGCCAAAAATCTGGTAGCACATGGACGGAGCAAACACATAGAGACAATATATCATTTCATCTGACATCAAGTTAAAAATAAGATCGTGATGCTGACATATTGCAAGTTTGAAGACCAAATCGCTGACATCTTCACCAAGCCACTAAAGACAGAAATATTTTTTAAGCTTAAGAAGAAGCTTGGACTTGTGAGAAATGAAAGTTGGTGATGAGGGGGAGTATTAGAATTCCTCACCAACTTAGATTATTCTAGAACAACTTTCTAGAACTTCTTTCTAGTAACATCCTACAAAATATCTACAAAGAAGTTTCTAGGAAGATACAAGTGTATGACTAGTATTTATTCTTTTAGAAACTTCTTAGTAATGTATGGCTAGGATTAACTCTTCTACACACTTCTTAACCCTCTTAAACAACTATAAATAGGGGTCTTGGGCTCACATTTGGGTAAGCAAGCAAGAAGTAAGCTTGAAAGCTTGAGTGCGTAGTGTAGGCTTATGTGAGTGTTCACCAAAATAAAAGAGTTGTGTGAAAGTGAGGTGCTCTTGTAAGAGCAAGTATTGTACTCTCTAGTGTTCTATTAATAAAAGTTTCCTTTGTGTAGAGGATTGTATTCTTCAAATTCCATTAGACGACGGCTCTTGACTTGGAGATATCGATCATAAAACCACTCGATTCATTGTCTAAGTCAAGCATGCGGGAGAACTCTCCTTGAGGTCGCGAAACTTGGGCAAATTCGAGAATCGGATACTTCTTAATGAACAACTCAATTGACACTTGCTTCTCGACTAATTGTTTCATGTCATTCAACCCCTCATCGTCAATGATCTCCACGGCAATTGTTCTATTCTCATTTATTAGATATTTAAAGAACACCATAGTTGCTTATTCTTCTTTATTAATTTTAGTAACTTTGTGTATTTCCTTCATCATTCCATCAAAATTACATGACTTAGATAGCATAAACATTTTTCTAGAACCTCCCTCATACATAGGCATACTATTCACTCCGACGCCGAGGCTTCCATTGAAGAAGCAAATAATGGGTATAGAGTTCGCCATCAAAACTAAAAATCAACAGACCATCATATGCAAATAATCTATTATAACTGAAAATATTAATCTCAATTAAAAATCAAATTTAAAATCCTAAATTCTGGTTAAACCCTAACTTCCAAATCACATTAGTCATCATATTTCACAAAATAAAACCTAAACATTTTCATATCCCAAATCATAAACCCTAATCAATCCACGTCATTCACCTTAATTCTCACAAAAAATTACAATTCACGCCACAAATTTCATATCCTAATTATAATTAAACCCTTAATCAAAAATCATATCATTCATATCAAAATTTAACCCTAGCCTGATACATCCATAACACTCATCAAATTTACAAGAAAATAGCTAAAATTTTCACCTTGATTAGAGTTTGGTGGATGTGGTCAAAGACGGCTGTGGTCGCGAAGCGCTGGCAGAGGCACCTTGTCGGCAAAGTGCGGTCGGAGGCTGGGGTCGTGAGCGTTGTCGGCCAGGTCGCGAGCGTCGTGGTGGCGGGGTCGCGATCATAGTGGCTGGGTCGTGTAGATAGGACTTGAGGTAACGAAAGAGGAGAGGGTCACTGGATTTTAGGGTTGGATTACTTAAGTATAGCAAATAGGCGGGACTACTAGTCCCGTATAATTTGACTGCTTAATTAAGGCTTTTGAATTACACGGGAAATTACATTTCAGAAAAATTGACTGTTCTCTCACGACGAGCAGTCGATTTTGCTAAATTTTTTTCTAATTAGATCGTTTTTGCTGATTAAATTCTCAAAATGGTTGCTTTTAAAAATTTGGCCTCCGGAATATATAAAATGGGCCCGGTCCAGGCCCATAATATTAATATCGTTTTGCAAAATGATCCTTCTTGGAAGGTTACTACCGCAAATAGATATTATTTGAGAGCTAAAATTACAAATTACAAATTACAATCTTTAATTACAAATTACAATCTTTCAAGAGTTAAATACCAAAAAAAACACACTGGCCTTCTTGGTTCTCAGTCCTTCGGTCTTCTTCAGCCAACTCTCAAGGATTCCAAGAACAAGGGCAAACTCAAAGGCAACTAATCTCTGGTTTGATTTTATCTCTACCTAAATTATATATTTAATAATTTTGTGGGTTTAACTTCCTTTTTGCTAGTTTTGTTGTCAAAGGCAATTAATTTCTGGTTCGATTTTATCTTTTCCTAAATTATATATTTAATAAGTTTGTGGGTTTAATTTTCTTTTTGCTAGTTTTGTTGCGTATCCTTTAACTTCATAGAATCAGAATTTAAATTTGTTATCTTTTCAGTTTTTTAGTTCAAAGAAAGCATCTTTAGTGGTTCTTGAAAGGAGAATCTACTGAAATCAAAATATTCAGCAAGTAGCACATCATAAGCGGCAGCAGTTGTTTCCGCTTTGAGTCCACATGCTTATTAGGGTTTATGGAACTGCTTCAGTTAGATTGATTTTTTTTTCTTTTTTTTTGTTATTTTTTTCTTTTTTCTTTTTTGTGTGTGGTTGTGTTTTTTTTAGGTGTTGGTGGTGTGGGNGATTTGTTTAGGGGAGTTTGGCAATCTGAAAGTGAATTTAAAATATGTAAGTTACTTTTTTTTACAAATGACTTTTACATCCATGTTAGCACGCAAGTGAAATACAATGTTTGTTTGAAAAATTAAATTATTATCGAAGTTACAATGTGAAGATGACATGACAAAATAAGATTAATTAGAAAGTATAATTAAAATCATCTAATTAAATTAGTTTTTTTTGTCACTTTCATGTGACTTCATCACTTTTTTAGGGGAAGTCAAAATTCCATTAAATCATATGCGACAACTTTCTTGCATCTCACTTTCATAACAACTTACATGAAAATAAACACTTTAATTGTTAATGAAAGTAATTTTCTCACTTTCATCTTTCACTTGCATGCAAACAAACACCCCCTTATAGTCAAAATAGTTGAATAGGTTTAATTGTAAGGTGTTATTTGCATTTGCACAGGTTTAATTTTTGGTTTAATTGTAAGGTTTATTAGCATATTTTTGTCACGACCATTCCTTAATAGTAAAGGGGAAGGGGCAAAAATTATTCCAATTTAGAGATAAAGCCTTGCATGTCATCAAAGGGTGTCAGGTTTTTTTCTGGAGGGCAAAACCGTCCCTCTATTACAATCTTTTATTTGGAAAATTTGGATATTCTTTATTATCAAGGGTTATTTATTATGGTATTTAAGATTCTTGAGTATGCTTTTCCTTCACAAGCTTTGTGTATGAGAGAATGTTGAAGATATGGTGCTAGCTCTCCAATTTATATAGTATTAACAGAACTAAATATGGCTTAAAACTACGAAAAGACTACAAAAGTTGTTCTTGATTTGGACAAAAATTCCCTTATTATGAAATTATAATTTTTTAAATGTCATAACACGATCACGGTGCAGTAAAAAAATTAACAATTTTTTTCAGTGCTGCATTTCCTTAATTTATGCTGTCGTACCTATCTTTCTATCCATGTCTTTTTCAGACAAGTTGGATATTCTTGGTTATAGTTTTTATTAGATATTCTATCAACAATTTATCTAACTTATTTCCTCTCCTTGTTCCTATTTCAAACAGCATGTTACTTAAAATGAAGAGAGATCATGGGGTTTTGCGTGCTGTATCTAAGAGTTGCGTGTAACAGAAGTATCTTACTTATTCGGACGCTAAGAAAGACAGTGATTCAAGAAGGCAATATGAAAGAGTTGAATCAGAACCTTGATTGCGTGTGGTAAAGGCTAAACTTTCTGTTAGATTCACCGAGAGAGAAGAATGTCCGCAATATGAATGGGGTGGCTGTGGAGAGAGTGATGGTTGAAGCGCTAAGCCTTCCAAAAGAAAACACTGGAGGAGCATTATCTTACATATAAAGGAGTAGGTTTTTGCGACCATTCAGTTACATTTCGACGTGGAGAATGAACTCTGATTTAGACACTGATAGATTAAGTAGTCTACCTAAGAATGTCATTGAGACTATTTTAATGCGTATGCCAATACGGGATGCCGTTCGTACGAGCATATTATCCAGAGGTTGGCGATTTGAGTGGAGTACCCTTCCACAAATTGTGATAGATACGCAACCTCTCCTGAGTTCGCTGGGTGGAATGCAAATGGAGTTGGATAAGAAAATTGTGAAAACTGTGGATCACATTCTCTTACTTCATCATGGACCAATTCACAAGTTTACACTTTCCATTGATTTGGAGAGTTCTTCTGATATTGACCGATGGATTCTTTTTTTATCAAGAAATGGCATCAAAGAATTCTCTCTGTTGAAATGGAGAGGACAGCTCTATAAACTGCCTTCATATTTTTTTTCATGGGACATAACTTATTTGGAGTTGTATAGATGTGCATTCATTCCTCCAACGTCATTCAAGGGATTTAGCAGGCTTACAGTAATGACACTTGACCGTGTTTCCTTTACTGACAATGGGCTTGCTACTTTAATGTCTCTCTGCCCGCTACTGAAAGAGTTAGTATTAAGACAAGTTACTGGTTGTACACATCTCAACATTAGTGCGCAGAAGATTGTGAAGGTTGTAATTCAAGGTTCATTTCATGATATTCGGTTCGAAAGCACTCCACTTCTAGCTACTGCATCTATCAAGATGTTGGAGGTGGCTGGTGATTCACTTGTTAGTAAAGAAGACTGCAGAATAGTTAGAGTTCTTGGTGATACACCAAGTATTTATCAGCTGGAATTACTTGGCCCTACTTTAAAGGTAACCAGACCCATATGCCCGTAACTTTTGTAGAAAAAATATTTGTACTTTTTAAGAATTATTTGGAAATCACCTTATTTTTGTTATTTATTGCTGGTTCTAGAATTTAGCTGTTGGTGATGTACCTGTCCATCTTGCTGCAATTTGTCCAGTGAAATATCTGATCATTGATATAAATTTTGAAGCAACGCAAGAAATGCTAGCTGCCTTTTGCATGTTTAGAAGTTCCCCTGCTGTGCAAAAGCTCGGTATAACGGTAAGTTTCTCGTGAAGGTGGATGACATTTCTCGTACTGCAAAATAATACTTTTACATATATTTCTACTCTAATCTTATGGGCTTAGATGCAACATTCACTTGTGACGCTTTGTAATCCACTTTGATGGGGTATTCATACATCTGTTTAGTATTAGAAAATCTACAATGTGGTGATCTGCAAAGAGATGAGGAAATGGGGTGGAGGATGTGTTAAGAGTACAAAATCACAACCCTCAGCCTTCACCACAATTTCACAGTTTTGGTATAGTCACAGGGTCCTTAGACATAGTAGCAAACCAACGTATGTTCAAATTCAACCAGCCATGTACTTAATGCGGATTTAGAAGGATAGGTAGTAGCGTGAGTTCAGTTTCAGCGCGTAAAGGGGGCTCAAGCTGCAGGGGCATGTTAGATGAATCCAAGATGTAAGTCAAGAAATCCAAGCTTGGATGATATGAGGTCTTGTCTTAAGCTAGCAAATAAGGCACAAATCCTAATGAATCGCATGTACACAAGAATTAGAGAGGTAGCAGCACAAAAGAACTTTGCTTTAACTTATTTTATAGGATTACTTGCGGATAGATCCCTTGAACTGTCGCCCAATTGCGGATAGACCCCCTGCAGTTCTGTTGTTGCAGATAGAACCCCCGAGTGAATTCTTTTTTACCCTTATACCTCAGGAGGTCCATTTGTTAAAAAAACAATTTTCTTTGAGGGTAAAAGAGTGAACAAAAGTTTCACTCAGGGGGACTATCTACAACAATAGTATTTCAGGGGATCTATCGCAATTGGGCCATAGTACAGGGGGTCTACTCACAATTAACCCAATTTTATAAAAAGGAACATGCTCCTTGATTTTTTTTGTTATAAAAGAAGGAACATGCTCCTTGATTTTTTTGTTATAAAGTACTAATTATTCATTTATTCATGCCTATTTTAGGCTATCTCAGACAAGAAAATTGCCACAATATCATCTGATGGCTTTTGGGAAGGAGAAGAAAGCTTCAACTGCACATTTAGTCAACTCAAAGTTGTGGAGGTGACTGACTTCAGCGGCATCACATCTGAACTTAAGCTTATCGAGTTTGTGCTTGCTAATTCACCTGTTCTTGAAAGGCTGCATATAAAGTTCAAAGAAAATGTGGCTCACTTGGTAAAGATCCTCAAGGAGTTGAACCAGTATCGAAGAGTCTCACCGAAAGCTAAACTTTTTTTTCCAGGCTAATATCATTCTGGTTTGGAAACTTATGTGTTGCCTTCCCTGTTTCTGTATTTTGTCATTAATGTGATATCAGAATTTAGAACAGATGAAACTACGTTAAACTGCTGTTTTCAACTGTTGTTGGACTCTTTAGGAGATGATTTGGAAAAAAATAAATAAAAACAGGTGGAACCTGTGAAGTGTGAAATGTATTATTATAGCTTATTTGATGCTTGCTTTCGATGATTCAGAATGAGCATGTTTGTAAAGGCTCTTTGGTTAAATTCGAGGGTGCTGTCTGATAACTTGATATTTTACCCCTTTATCTTACCTTTGGACAGAAAACTGAAGGCTTAGTGGCTAAGCGGAAGGTGATTTGTGCTTTTTCTGTTTAATCATGTTCGCCGGACATCAGGGGCGGAGCTGAATGGGTGCCTCTGGGTTCCCAGGACACCAGTAAAAACTGAATATCTACCAGAGAGCACATATAAAAATAACAAAAGTATAGATGATTTTGCGGAAAAGGGTCTCAAGGAACCCAGCATGCGCGCGGGTTCGAATTTTTTCACCTTAATGATAGTTTGGTGGCTTATATTGAGAGAGATGTATTTTCCACCATTACCGATGCATCTATAGGACACCATAGGATTAAAATCCTGGCTCCGCCACTGCCGGACATTGCTATTGAAGCTGAGGACTTGGATGAATTTCTTGCCAGTGTGATCTTTTACATGAGTTGTTAGCAGGGGTGCACTCGGTCCGGATACGGCTCGGATATGATGCTTACTATATCCATATCCGCTTACCCATCTCAGATATGGATACGAATACGGATATACCTCGGTAAGGAAAATTCATAACCATATCCGCTAAAATCGGATACGGTTACGGATATACATGCAGATATATGAGTGGATATGCATGCGGATACAAAACGGATATGAGAAAACTAGATAGTATGGAGAAAAACATAGTTCATGTGATACAAAAGAGTTTGTTAATATGTCCATTATAATTGAAAAGTTAAGATTAGACATCTTGATCATCAAAATTAGCCACAAATCCATAATCTAAGAATCGAAACTACTCATCTCATCCAATAATATAGTGACAACTCATTTTCTCCCTCACTTTCTTTCTGAATTTTGACGAACCAAACATTAAAAAGTAGAGAAAAACATCAAAATTCATTTTCTTTCCCCCCACTTTCTGCAATTTTTTGCGAAACAAACAGGCCCTAATATGCATTTGTAGTATCTCTAGTAAAAAAATATCAATCCGAATAACAAGATATTATATATCTTTTATGCATTTAAAAAATACTTATTATGTCCTTTATTTTTATAAGAGGAATCAATTAAGCTTAAAATTCATATAATAGTTTATTGAGCATTAGAGGATATAAACAGAACAATTATATTTGCTTTTTAAAAAATATTTTCAATTAATTATTAATTACATGTTAAATAAGGCTCTTTTTAAAAATATGTTACTGCCTATTTGATTTTGTATTGTTTTTTTCTTTAAAATATATGATTTTTAATAAAAAAAAGTCACACATAAAATTCTAAATTTGAGAAGGAGATGCAAGAATGAAAATAGTCAAACTTTCTAGAGAAAACTTTTAAATTCGAAAAAGATATGGATTTTACACTTAAAAAAGATGGAAGAGTGAAAAGTGACATACATTTCTAAGAGGAGGATGAGGGGCTGGAGCTCACATCTGTATCTATATTACTTATAAAAGATAATTCTGATGCCAAAATTTTTAATTTTCTTTTTTTTTGCCCTCTCAAATTTTGACAACTTGCAATTATACTATTAGTTATAATTAAACTTTAACTAGTTATTCAAAACATCTTATCAATTATGGACCTCCTAACCTTTCCGTATATTTAGGCATTTACTAAAATGTAATTTATAAAAATACTTTTTAATGATAAGAAAATTGATAAAATATGTTATCATATATATATGTACGTGCATTCCACTTATTAGTAACAACAAATGTGCTTATAACTTCTATCACTCCAACTCTTGTTGTTATAACTTATAACACTCATTAAATTGTACGCAATTACAGCTGATATAGTTCTAGCTTATTTCGTTATTTTGCAACGAAATCTCAACCAGACAGACATCTATATTGAAATTTGACTGTAAAACAACGAACTATAACCTGCATTTCATCCAAAACAACGACCTGTAACCTTGGGGAGTGTGACGCTGATTCAGCTGGCCCAAACATTTAGCCCATAAAAAGCAAAAAGAGGCTCTCCCACGCCTCCCGCCTCATCGCGGACATCAGGCTCGGGGCCGATCACCTCCTCGAAGCTCTCTTCATGGCCGGCGAAGCCCCTCGGAGATCCAACAAGACCGCCCAGCTCATCCTCAAGGAGGAGGCAGCAATGCAGCAGCACTTTCAGGATCTCCGGGACCTCGGTACTTTGGTTTCTCCCTTCTTCTAGGGTTAGGGTTAGGGTTGTGGTTTTGGGTGTTCGTTCGTTTTCTGATGAATTTGATTGGCTTGGGAGCTATAGCTAGATTTAAATCTGTGAAATGTCTTGAATTGTAGACAGTAACAGACTAATTTCTTGAATTCCAAAGAGTAATGGTTTGCTTTAAGTTAGCGTTGTGGTTTAATTTTGGGGATGACATAATGGGTAATTTCGAGGATTAGGAGGCATACAGCTAGAGTTTCTTGGATGAACATACAAGCAAAATGGGGAAAAAGGGAGATCACCCATTCAGATGGCATCAAATTTTAAGTCGTTATGGAATAGTTTCTAGAAATAATTACACGGATTTTAAAGGGTTTAGAAGTGAATCCTCCACTTGGTTATTACAACTGTACATGCACACTAAATCACGATAAAAGGAAAATGGTGACACATAAATGGGTAAATACACCTTGGTAGATTCACAATTCTACCAAGTAAACCGACACATGTCAAAACATAAACAGTTGATTGTAGCACAAGTGTAGACCGCTAAAGAAACTCTTAAGTTAGAAGGTATTGAAAGTATCAAAAATATAAACAAATCTACGATGTATGTCAAGAGATAAAACCTTAACCACATACCATGTGAAGATGCTAGAATGAAGATCAGAATTGAAACCATTTTTATTTTATTTTTTTGCACTACATTTTAACTTCGGGGCCATAATTTTTCTTTTCTACGTCTTCATGGTGTTTGGGTTGCATTTAAAGTTTTACAAGACATCAAGGTTTATAAAGCATTGCCATTCTTTTAATTTAGTTGTGTTAGTGGTGCTCATGTCGGAGACAACGCTTCTTAACATGTCCTTAATTACTAATTAATTAAAGTGTCCGTTTGCTGCTCCACAAGTTTTAAAAACCATTTTTTAAAATATAAACATCACAATGGTGACTTGTATATAAAAATAAAAATTTTATGATATATTTCAACAAAAGAGATGAGATTATTAAGTTACTTTGTAGAGAGATGATGATCGAGGGCTATTTCTCATTCAAGAGAACAGGATACCTATGAGAAGTGGCATTGCATTTTTTATGAGTGTGCATGTAAACATATACATGCATTTATTTCTTTTGAAGAATGTACATGCATTAATATACCAACTCATGTACATGTTCACGGTGCATATCGAAAGTATCATGATATTGTCGTGTCCTTACATCCTACTTTAAGGAGAAGTTGTGAATTCGTGTCCACATTGTGTTTTGTCTGTTTCCAGCAGCAGTATTCATGCATCTCAGATCAAAGATCAAAGGAGCGACCTGCATGTATTTGTCAAGTTTGGTCATTCATGGATGCAATCCTACCTCTGCTGCTGATAGTAAAATCTTATCATTCCCACTGTTATCATATGCTAGAAGCGCACAGTAATTTTGCCTAAACAAACACTTTTGGTGCACCTAATATATCTGTGAATCTATGTAATACACAAGACATCCTAGTGATCAAAAGTGCAAATGGATGCTGAAGATTTTAAGTCATTAATGGATCTGACTTACTTTGGTTCTTGTATAGTTATAAATGAAGCTTGTAAGTATTTGAGATGTGTTTTTTATCAATAGGTGGCTTATTTTTTTGGTGATCTTCTGTCTTTGATGCTACAAGACTATGCTTTTTGTTATTAGGCGATCACTTCTTTGATTATTTGTTCACCATTCGTTGTTATTTGGTTACGTGCTACTTTACTATGTAAAATATGGATGATTGATTTTAATTTGAAACTTTTTACTTTAGAAATTATGTATCATGGTTCTTTCATTGAAATCATGCTCGTAATTTTGTTCTTTTTCCCCTTGACATATTGGCAACTGAAGGTTCTATATCCTTTTTATTGTTAGGAAGGCAACTAGAAGATTCTGGAGTACTAAATGGGTCTCTTAAATCACGAGGTAACTCTTGGGGTTTGCATATGCCACTTGTTTGCCCTGATGGTGCTGTTGTTGCTTATGCTTGGAAACATCAACTTGCTGGCCAAGCTGGTGCATCCGCTGTTGACAGAACTAGGTACGTCTATTTTGTCTTTCTATATGGTCAGCGCTAAATTCTGGTGAACTCCATCAGAACTGTAATGAGCTTTAATAAACAAAATTAGCATCACCTACTCATATCTGTTTGCGTCAAAAGTTGGTTTCATTGTGGAATTCATTATATCTTCAGTCGATTACAATAAATTCAAAAGAGATAGCCTTTTTATAAGACTTCTTTTACACAACAAAGAGAAAATTACAACTTTTTAGAAACAAACGCAGGATCGTTGTTTGGATCGCTGCTTGCGTGGGATCTTTGCCTGTGCCGGGAGCGCTTTGACTCGTGGACCACCAAATCACATATTCTGATTGAATCGTGAAGGTTTAGGGATTCTTCCTTCGTTTATCGAAGTAAGAATTTGAAGCGAATATCTTATCGATGTAAGATGTTCACTCTTCTAAAGATCAAGTCAGAGCTTAGATCTCTAGGAATGGCCAAAAGCTTCTTGAGGATGTTTGTGAAGAAGAAAGACTCTCTCTCTTGCTCTAATTCACCAAAAGCTCAAGTCTCTCTGCTCTAATCTGCTCTGGAAATGCTCCCTCCTGCTCAGCCCCTGTCAATGATGGCCATAGGGGGGTATTTATAGCCTCCTTAGACGATAACTGAAGAAATAGCCGATCAACAACTGCCTCTTTAGACGCGGCAGTTGATGCTGTCGTGGCTAAAGGGCGCGACAGTCGACACTATCGCGGCTAAAGGGACAGTTACACCCACGTTCATACGTGTTTGAAACTGTTCTCCCACGACCTTTAACCACCTTTTTCGTGGTTTAACTGTCTGTCCACGTCAGCACACGTTCTATCTCTAATATGCTGCCACGTGGGCTTTAATAATCATCAGATAACTGCATTGTAACTGCTGTAGCATCCCCTATAATGGCCGCGACACCATGAGTTGCCGCGCCTTGGCCGCGGCACCATAGGCTGCCGCGTCTTAGCCGCGGCACCATGGGTTGCCGCGCCTCAGCCGCGGCACCATGTACTGCCGCGCCCACACGCTGTAGTTTGCATTGTTCTGTGAATTCACATTGTTTTGTGTTGATTCATAGATCCTTTTGCTTCCTTTGGGCTTGTATGATCTCCCATGACTTAGATACTGATGTTTATCATCTTCTCTTTGTCTTGAGTGGTATTTGGATGTCTGTAAACATTTTTTGACGTCTACAATATCTAGCGGTCCAAAAAATTTAAAAAGAACAAATACTTAAGAATTTTTGGAGACTTTAGCTGTTAAAAATTTTACTGATAGCTCTCAAATATTGCAATTAGAGCACACTAATTTTTTTTGTCCTTGTCTTGATGTTGCGTCTTATGTTACGTATTGCCCTGTGCTTGATGTCCAAATTTTAATAAAACACGCGGGGCCTTGGTTCCTAAGGTTAAATCTCAGTTTTTTTTTCTATAAAACAATTCAACAAACAAGAATTCCTGGTAGTTCATGTGCTACAAGATGTTAAAAACTTACAAGTATTAAGTTTTTTTTATTTCTAGTTGTTAATATTTCTTTTATACAATGATTATGATGGTTTATGTCAAAGTTATGGTCGTAAAATTTTGTCACATCTTATGGACTCTTCCATTCCATAGTTCGCATTTCAGTGTGAAGACGTAAATTGTATAATTTAAATTATCAATAAATGGCTGAAAACCAGCTGGGGTTCTAATGTTGCCCTTGAAAAATAGTGCAGCTGTAGGAAAAGTAATCAGTAAAAGGTTTCCTGAATATTGAACAGAGAATGCATGGACTTTTGTACATCTAATGTGTTGCTACATTGTCATGAAATCTGGGTTGACATACTACTTTTATTTATGAAAAATGTTTCAAATTGTTAAATATTCTTTTGTATCTTAGTTGCATGTGAAAATTGTTAGTGAAATCTTCTTTTGTCAAATCCCCTCCGCTTCCATTGCAGATTACCTTTCAGTGTGAAGACATAAATTCCACTTCAATTTTAAATTATCACTAAAAGGCTGAAGGCATGGTTTTAAAATATCGGTTATCGGGAATATATTGGATGGCCATAATTCATATTGGATTATGGCTATTGAGGATATATCAGGGACAAGTAGTAACAATCGAAGTGTCTTATCGGATGGTGTACATGTAAATGTCCTAAAATGTAATCTAAGAACACAAAGAACAATATCTGTTCAAAATTAAATAAATATGTAGAATAATCTCTGTTCAAAGAATAATCAGTCACATGGAATAATCTCTGTTCAAAATCTGTTAATCATAGTGAATCATGCATCATAATTTGAGTCCCATACCCAAAAATCTGCCAGTGAAAAAAAAATCAGTCCCGAGGCAGTTAAAATTAAAATATATACTCTTTGCTCATCAAACCAGAGTCTCAGACCCAAAATTTTCATTAAAAAAATTCAGTACGTGGCTTCAATGGTCAAGGGTCAAGGGTCTTCGAGCTTCTAGGATCTTCGAGGGTCTTCGAGGCTCGTCGAGCTTCGAGAATCTAAGAGCTTCGAGGGTCTTCATGGGTCTTCAACGGCCAAGGGTGGAGCGTCTTCAAGTGAGAAATGAGAAGCTTTGAGAGAGGGTCTTCAAGAGAGGGTCATCGAAGCTTCGAGAGGGGAATTTGCGAGTGATTTGGGGAAGAAAACGATGGAGGCAGAGAGAATTAGGGTTACACGATGGGCAGATGAGGAATAGAATAGGATAGCGTTGCTTTTGTTTAGCGGATAGCGGGTCAGTTATTGAAAAGAGGGCCTTTGTTCTTCAAACCCAAGCTAGTACTTAGAATGTTTAATTTTAGAAAAATCAGGTAATGTTGAGTACACGAGAAATCGACCGTTTTATTGGATTTTCACTGATATATTGGAAAAAACCGTCTAAAAATAATATGCGATAAATTTTCGCAAAAAGCGTTGCGGCCATTATCCAAACCCAATATATCGGCGATAAATCGATAAAATAGGACGATTTTTAAAACACTGGTTGAAGGCGAGCTGGGGTTCTAAAGTTGCAACTGAAACATAGTGCAGCTGTAGGAAAAGTAATCGATAAAACATTTCTGGAATAGTGAATAGAGAGCATGGACTTTTGTACATCTTCTATTTGCTACACTGTTATGATATCTGGGTTGACTCTTAACTTTTATTTAAGTGAGATGTTTCAAGTTTTTTCTTTTGTGTCTGAGCTGCCTGCGAAATTGTTAAAGATCTAATATAAAGGAGGGTTGAAAGATATGGTAGGTGAAATTCAGAGTAAAAAATTATCCTCCTTTTCCTTTTTCTCTCTCTCTCTTTTATTGTTTTATTTTTTAACCATCAACATAATCAGAAGAGCAAAAATATTGTGAGGAAAGTTTTTATTGGTGTGACATGATTTGTAGGTTAGCTCTCAAAGCATTCACTGATCAGAAGAGGCGGTTTTTCCCTCACCTTGAAGATGAACCATTTGGACAAGAATGTGAAGAGGAGTCGGGTGTATCCAAGAAGCATTGCAGTTCTCAGGGGTTGGCCATGAGTCTCAGGGACAAGTTCAGGGAACAAAAGACATTGTCTGACGTTCTTACAAACTTGGAACATGAGGTACATAACGTGAAGCTTTACACATATCAGCACCTAGATTGGCTGAAAAGAGCATCTTCATTATCATCTTCGTCGATTGATAACACGGGTGTTTCATCGAGAGAGCTTCCACAACGTAAAAAGACTAAAATCAGGTTACGGGAATGCTCCTGCGGATCAAGTAGCTGTTATCGAGCTACTAGTGCCTTCTGTTTTTAGAGCCGTGGTATCATTGCATCCGGCTGGTTCTATAAGCCCTGACGCGGTGGCATTCTTCTCTCCTGATGAGGTGAACTTACTCCAAGAACATGTTATTGCTTGTCAAGTCAATTTTCAGACTTTTGGAAATCTGTGTCAGATATATCATATACTTGTTTCAAATTATAAAGTGGGTTTCCCTTTTTTGATTTTATTTATCTATCTACTTAGTTAATTGATAAATAATTTAAATTGTTTCCACTTTCAAAATTTTGTCTCTCTTCTGACAGTCTATCTACTTAGTTAATTGATAAATAATTTAAATTGTTTCCACTTTCAAAATTTTGTCTCTCTTCTGACAGACCTTACACACTTAAACAACTTGGCAGTTCATACCACCTGCAGTTTTTGGTGCTAGATGTTAGTCACATTAACTGCTTAACATGTTAGATTCTATTTTCTTGCCACAATTCCTGTGACTAGCCCTTTTGGTTGTCCAAAAATTTAGAGACGCCGCTTATTATTTGACCTTGCCAAGCACCACTAGGGATACAAAATAATCCCTTTATGCAGATTAAAACAATGTTGTGGTTACACTTTTGATATACAAGAGGATTATACATGTCAGTGTACTCACATCAGCATGTGCGCGTATGCGTGCGTGTGTTTGTATGTTGATTAAAGACAAGTTTTCCTTATCACAAATTTCTGCTGCTAAAACAATTAAGGAGCACAAATCGTGGACACTATGAAATGGCTTTCTGGTTATGTAAATCAATTGTTACGTGAACCTTATTGAAAATAAAGAAATTGTACAAAATCAAATTGAAGAAAATACTGAACTCATCATTCATAAGTTGGAAGTTTAATTTCTTAGTATGGGATACACCTGTGGTTTCTTTCACACTTCCAGAATATGTTACAAAGTTTAGGATACATTAGAAGAATATCTGATACCATCAAGTATTGCAGTATCCAAATATTAGGAAAGTATTCAATACGGTACAGAAAGTACTTGTGCAAACTTGACTCCTTCCGGATATGTTCTTTCACAATCTTTTATTTTCTTGACAAATGTAAGACAAAAGAAGAATCAGCATCTCTTAGACTGTATCTGATTCAGTTTTTCTTCACGTAGGGTCCATTGAGGGTATCATTCTCCTTCCGGAAACCGAGTTAAATTTACAAAGAGGATTCTTGTAAACAATCCTGAAGATTTAGGACAAAAGATCTTGTTTTTCTTTTGTTCAAGAAAGCTCTTACCCTTTCATATGGGTATAGTAAGATTTAGGACAAAAGATCTTGTTTTTCTTTTGTTCAAGAAAGCTCTTACCCTTTCATATGGGTATAGTGAAAATAATTGGTGATTACTGGGAACGTCTTTTGTTCAAGAAAGCTCTTACCCTTTCATATGGGTATAGTGAAAATAATTGGTGATTACTGGGAACGGTGTATATTTGTCATCTCATATTTTCTGTAGGTAGTTTTTTGGTATTGGCTCCACAAACAAACATTTGACTATTGGAAATATAATACTCTGCATGCTGTGTTATGAGGTGAAAAGGATAGTAAAACTTTATGGTATTCTCATGGAATTTAACATGTTTTGTACAATCTGAATATTACTAAAACTTAATATTAATAGGATATGTTTTCTTTTTTTTTGTTTTTTGTTTTTTGTTTTTTTAATGCTTTAATACAACATTTTTATAGTATATGAAGTAGAATGCATCAGATATGCTCGACTATATTCCGAAGAAGAGTTGGGTTCAAAGAGTTAATTCTTTACTTCCTGGATCATACTTAAGATAATCATCCTTTACCAGTTCTAAGTGCAGAATTTGAACATTTAATCTTTCTCAGAGCGGAAACTATATTCATGCACGAGGCTTGTCAGTCTATCATGTGTTTAGGCATGTCACTGTGAGTTCTGCTTTCATGGCCCTTCTCCCTTTACAATTAATTTCTAGATTTGAATTATTATAAACTGTTTTTATTTGCTTTCTGTTGCAGGAACATGCTGATAAGGCGCTGCAGTATTTCCTGAGTGCTGAGGCTGATATTGCACTTTCTCTACTTCTGGTAGTTTCACCATGTACTTGATGGACTTTTCTTTTACTGAATCCAATGTTTACATAAAGGGAGAATATTACTGTTTGTTTCAGATGCTCTTTGTACATGAGGAGCCAGCTCCATGAGGAGCTGAATGGAAGAAAAGATTCACGTAGTCAACTCCGTAATTTTTGATATCGTTGGGATCTTCGTAGCTCCTTTCAACATTTTATATAACCAAGAGTGGTTTCATCAAACATCTGTGTAGTTTAAAGCTTCTAATGATAAATCTGATTCTTGAGTCTGCATACTGATCATTTACTCTGAACCTTTTTGCAGCATTGGGTTTGCAGTTATCAAACACTATTCTCAAAGGCTTGCAGGTAAATTTGCCTTTTCAAGGATTCTCAATGGTACAGTATATGTTTGCTCTTATTCAAAATGTTTAAACTATATTTCTGGTGCAGTAAATGCAAGCGGCTTCTGGTTATGGACAAATCTTCTGCATTGCTCTTGCCCCCTGTTCAACGCCCCTATCAGCAAACTTCTGTTACCAAGCTTAACCCCAACCAATTGTCTTCTTCAGCTAAGGACCTAAGCCAAGATCAAACACTTGCATATCACATTGGTTGTTCTTTTGATGAAACCCAGTGAGCGTAGATGCTTTTGTTGACTAACTTCCTCAACTACAATCCTTGCTGACCAATTTTTGTTTTTCTTGTCAGCAATGTGTCTTTAGTGGTAAGCACCCTCCTAACTTTTTTTGACATTTGATGTTGGATAGAGAAGTGTACTTTTCCCATGTATTATATATTGTATGCACGACTCTTGCCTAACGGCAAAACATGAATTTGATAGTCCTAGATTACTATTTGAAGTAGGTCTATTTCTTTTGTTAGATGAGTTCTTGCTATTGCCTGCTTTTTTTATTTGCTTCATTTACTTTAATTGTATGTAATGCTTGCAAAGCAAGCAAGAGCTTTTGTTCACTGCTTAGTTCTGCAGAATGTGAATCTGCTCCTGCTAACATCATTGGAATGTTTGGCATCGTTTTGTAGAAATATCTGCGTGAGTACAAAGTTGCCATTATATTAGTTGTTGAATTAGGGATAGTTATCCTGTGTCTGACGTCTAGTGGCAACTATTTTTACAAGCTCCAAGGTCTTCTCGCTTCCTGAAACCAATTCTTACTCCCATATCTAGGAAGTCGAAAATGAAGTTTGACGTGTGGATAATGTAATGAGCGAAGTTGATTTTAACTTTGACCCGTTAACTGTTAAAATTTAAACAGAGCAAGGTTTATGCTCCTTGCGTGAAGAAAGAGGGAAGAAGCTATTTTGTTGAGAAGTCAAGGACATGGACACAGTGACTATAAATGTTTATGAAGAGATTTGTTGCAAAGGATATACTTTTTGAAGATGGTGCGGTAATTAGAAAATGGTGATATCAAACTGTCTTCCTGCCACATCAGGTTAGAGTAAGCATCTTTTTTTTTGCCTGGGTGGGTGGGGCAGTTCAGGTGGTAGGGGAGGCTCGAGGGCGAAGTGGATGAAATCAGGGAAGTGAGACCAAATAGTAAAAGGTTTACTCTGAAATTAGATCACTAGACGATTCACTATGGTTTTCTTGCTCACAGGTATGCTATATCGACTAACCATACTGTTAGAAACTATGAAAGGATACGAATAAATAGATGCTATTTTTAAATTTGTTTTAAATTAATATCTTCAATTCTTATTACTTGTTTAAAATTTAACCCATCTAATTTCTTCTTTTACTTTTGATAAGAGAGCCTAATTAGGAATTGGAGATCTAATAGCAATTTCAGTTATTTGAATAATTAATAAGAATAAATTACATTAAACACTCAAGAACTTTTAGTGTTTCAAAGTATGCCTCTAATAGCTTTCGAAATAGCACTAAACCCTTAATATTTTTTTGCAAAAAAACCCAATATCTATTGGATAAATTATACTAAAGCCCCAATAATTTGCAAAATGCCTTGTTATGTTGTGTTTTGGCTCTAAATCACAAGGGTCATCCGAAGAACTTTCAAAGTTACTGGGGGTTTACTACAAAAACTTGAAAGTTCTTCGGATTTTGTGTAATCTGCCCATGAAATATCTTAAGAATAAGATACCTAGTAGTGGTTTTAATGATTTGAGGGCTTAATTTCAAAATGTGAAAGATTTATCGTTATCGGGAAAACCCAAAGGTGACTTGCAAATGTATACTACTTTTAAAAGAGAAAACAAGTGTCAAAACTTTTGCATGCCCATTTTATCCCTTTCAATTTGCTTAATTATAATTTTATCCCATGCACCACACTTAATGAGTGTACCATTATTCAGGGCTTATCTTGATCTAGAAGAGGCAAGGGTTGTAAACGTCCTATCCTCTCCCGCTCCACCCACCCGCCCCCCTCCGCCTCTTCATCTCCAATTCTTTCAATTCTTCCGTTTCTTCATCTCCGATTCTTCGGTTTCTCAACCCCCGCCCCTCTGCTTCTTCCTCTCGGATTCTTCCGTTTCAAAACGCAACAATTTGAAATCTCCATTTAATGTGTGATGACCTTATAGTGCGCAACCCTGTTGATTAATTGAAACTTCATTTCCTCTCCATAATTTGTGTATAATCACTATCTCATTTGTTTCAGGAACTCAATGACTTCCACGCCTTGTTGGCCTTTCTAAAGCTCTTGAAATGATCCTGCTAAATCACCAACTCCTCATAATGATTAAATAGTTGCAGTCTTTCACTTGTAAACTTGTATTATTTTCTTGTGGGTAACTTTGTTCAGATGTCCAAGCTAATAAAATCAGAAGAAGCTCATGGATTGGGTCTCATTGATGCCATAGTTCCATCAAATGTTGTTGGGCTTTGGATATTGCCGAATCAAGGAAACCATGGATCAGAACTCTTGATAGAATGGACAAGAAAGAATCCATCTAAGAAGCTAGAGCACTACTAAAATTTCAAGAGTTCAGGCTCGCAAACGAGCTCCTAATCTTGAACACCCTTTAATTTGTATCGATGTTATAGAAGAGGGCATAATTTTTGGACCAAGGGCTGGTCTTCGGAAGGTAAATAATTTTCAAATTTCATTTTTATGATCTCTGTCCTTTGTAAGTTTGATGAATGAATGATATATTTGGTTTCTTTTTTGCAGGAGGCAAATGCTTTTTATCAACCTTTGTAAGTTTGATGAATGAATGATATATTTGGTTTCTTTTTTGCAGGAGGCAAATGCTTTTTATCAACTAATTTATTCTGATACATGTAAAAGCCTAATCCATGTATTCTTTTCTCAGTGTGCAACCTCAAAAGGTATATAAAAATGTTATTATGACAAAATATGTAAATAGCTTGTGTACTTATGTTATATGTTTGATAAATGAACAAAAGGAATGCAAAATACCTTTGGCACCATCATAACATGCATTTTATATGGTTTTGGATTTTGTTAAATGGGTTAGTAATGAATTACCAACTATTTGTTTGATTAATTTTGGTGACAGATGAAATCAGGAAGACAAAATGTTTTTGAAATATTTTCTTCCTACTAAAAGCTAATAACTAACAAATGTTGATGTAAAATTCTAAAGGTTATGCTATTGTGTAATATCTTTCATCAGTATCCATAAGATTTCATCATTATATGAACTTACCAATTGTCATAAGTCAACATTATTTCCTGAATGCTATCTCATTATTGTTAGTGTAATTCGTCAATTAGGTAGATATTATTCCTATGTTTTCCTTGAAAATCTAATTAGTTCATGGACATCATAAGATTTGTATGCATGGAAGTATCCATTAGTTTGAAATCATAGCTATTTTTTGAGCAATTTGCCAATTTAGATCCACATATGTAAACCAAATCCTTTTCTTGTAATTCTTTGGTGAATGTTTTTCTTTCGCTTACAGGTTCCTGTAATTACTGATCTCAGTCTTATGCCTCGCAATATCACTAAAGTTGCTATTATTTGAGGAGGTGTAATTGGTTCTGAAATTGCAACTACACTGATAGTGAGGAATTACGTTGTAATACTCAAAGAAGCAAATGAAAACTTGTTAAGAGCAGGGATTGACAGAGTTAAAGGTACACATAACATAACTCTTTTATTAAGAAGACAGACTTCCCTTTATTTTTTCTACTAAATTTCATTTGCTTGTATGTCACAATTTTTTTTCCAGCCAACCTTCAAAGCTATATCAGAAAGGGAAAAATAACTGAAGAGAAATGCAAAAAGGCATTCTCTCTTATAACTGTGTTCTTGATTATGAAAGCTTCAAAGACATTGACATGGTTATTGAGGTAAGTCATAGTATTATATCTCCATTTTGTTGCCCCTTCTAATTCATTTTTCAAAATTTGCTTGAATGTGTGCAATGATAACAGGCCGTTACTGAGAACATGACTTCAAAGCAACAAATATTTGCTGAGCTAGAGAAGTACTGCCCTCCACATTGCATACTTGCTAGCAATACGTCAACGATATATTTCAATTTAATTGGAGAAAAAACAAGGTGCCAAGACCGTATTATCGGTGCAAATTTCTTCAGGTAATACACGTTGTTTTTTATGGGGTTTTTTGTAGATATACCCGTTAAATCACACACAAGTGTCAAAACTTTTGCATACCCATTTTACCCCTTTCAATTTGCTTAATTATAATTTTATCCCATGCACCACACTTATTGAGTGTACCATTCCATTATTCAGGGCTTATCTAGATCTAGAAGAGGGAAGGGTTGTAATAAATTTCCCCTCTCCTCTGCCGCTCCAACCCTCGCGCCCCCCCTCCCCCTGCCTCTCACTATGGTTTTATTGCTAATATTGCTATATCGACTAATATATTGGGTTAATTTTTTTTGTTAATCATGAGTTTATTATAATTTGTCTTATGATATTTTGTCTGTTTGGTATCAGAGGCTTTAATTTTTCTCATGAATTGTTTTAATAACATCTATTTTGTTTATTCGTATGTAGTTAATTGAATGTTTTCGTAAGAGATTTGAGAGATTTTTTAAACACTTTCTTCATTAGTATTGTGAGCATCTACTATACTTCTTTATAGATATGAAACATGTGCCAAGTTCTTTGATATTTTTCCAGAAAAATATTTATAAAAGCTACTCACATAGGCTAATAGATTTGTTGTAAGGAGTACGTGTTGGATGTAGGTAATGATGATTGCATTTGCAATTATATTTTCATTTTTCTCATGATATAGTCCAAATTAATTGTTATATAAAATTCAACTATCAATCATATTAATAATATTCATGGTAGAGATTCACTTTACTAATCAACCAGGCCACATAATTCACATTACATGTATGCGATGCCGGATATGAAGAATCGCACAAGCATCTATTTTTTTGAATGTTATCATTCTATGCAATAATATAATGCTATGTGCATGTTTTGAATGGAGAACTTGTAATTGGAATCTTTTGATTTGCTGGTACTCCTCAAATTAAGCTTAAGAGGCTATCTTTATATACAACAGTATATCAATCTAGCAGGAAAACAAATCAAAGAGTATTTGTGGGCAAAGCTGAAAATAGTGCTGTGTTGATCATATGTACTAAGATTCTCAATTGTATAATTTTATAAAATAATAAGGAGAGCATTAGAAGTTTGTAGTTATTTTTTCACTAATGATATTAATAATATGATCACATATAGCAAGAATCAAGCTAAAGTTTGTACATGAGAAATTTTAATAAAATCATACTTATGAAAATCATATTTATGAAAATGTAATAAAATGACTTGCGAACATTAGCCCTAAATAAAAATAAATAAATAAAAATAGATTAGAAAGTGAAAAAGTCGCAAACCTTTGATGATTATCTTCCTTCCTGTCCTCTTTCTTCCTCGAGAATGTG